AGCGAATGGATGTTCCACACTATCACCATACCTTGCATGTCCTCACCAGGCTGTACACCTGAATCTTCCGTAATCTCCATTATACCAGACATCAGTGCTTTTCTGAGTTCTGTGAGAAAATCGAGCAAATACTGAACTCTTGAATAGGGACTAGGTGTCATCGTCTGAAGTGAAGGCATGCGTTTATGGGACAGGTAAGTACGTGTTAAAATTGAGCTGAATTATAGGACACCCCGGCTGGCATCTGCTGGAAAATTCCTTGGTATTAAATCTAAATTGGGGCCAATCCTATGTACCAAGCTGCAGCTTAATTTAGTATGTAAGCCAACTGAAGAATGTGCCTTTGTAACAAATAACTGAGTCTCAGCCCATCCCAGCAGCAGGGCCTCAGTCAATTGCAGGTGGCCACGTGTCCAGGCCATGTTTATGTAAGAGGGTTTCTAATCTGGAGCTGATCCAGCTGTCTCTGTACCTCACTTCCATTTTCTGGTAGCTCACTTCCCTTTTCCACTCTAAGGTTACACAGACACATGACACCCCTAGAGTCTCACCGAACCTCTTTCTGGTTACGAGGGCAGCTCAATCCATGGTTTTTTGCTCAATTAAACACAGTAAATTTAATTTGTCTGAAATTTCCTTTTAACAATGTGTGGAAGAAAACTCCCTCACATCCGATCTCTAGTGTTCTGTTTTGAGGGTAAGAGTACAAAAGGAAGCAAACAATTTGCTTTTTTCTTCGCCTTTGACACACATACACATGCCCAGTTGAATCTGCAACTTGTACTTTTAAACAGGAAAGCACGTCATCAAAGAAACAGATAGCTCTGGATTGGCTTGGCCACATGTCTGTCATAAAAGTTTCCACAAGGGGAGAAGGAAGTTAGGGTGAAAAAAAAAATGTGTAACTAAAATATACTCACTTCAAGTTATTATTTGTACATATTAATGTAATATGCAGATTGGATAGTGGTTTATATTTTGATTCAGAACCACTATGTAAGAACCTTGAAAAAAATGTGAAGTACACTTCTTACCATTTCAGGGCATTCTGTTTTGCTGGTGACTGTTAATTCTTCAGCTGCACAAGTATCAGTTTCCTGGTCTCACAAGAAAACTATTCATTTCCACCCTATTAAAAAATCATTTTAACTTCATGTTTTAAAAGCTTTTTTGTGTGTGTGGTACCGGGGCTCAAACTCAGGACCTTGCGCTTGGTAGGCAGGCACTTATGCTGCTGAGCTATCTCCCTGGCCCCTAAAAGCTTTTCATACCAATTTACTCATCATACTTCATGTGGTTAGATGAAATACTTAAATTCTACCTAAGTTATTGAGACTACAGAACAGCTCCAAATGGAGCTGGAACCAGTCTGAATGATCCAGACCACCTTCTATAAAGGCTCTTTCCAGAACAAAATCATTTTTCCCTTAGAAGCCCTGGAAGGAAATTTCTGATAGTTCTAGAATCACCAGTTTGCTCCCACTTCTTACACTCAAGGTTTATGATGTATCTTGCTACACAAAGCATTCAATGACAACAAAAATATTTGTACATACAAACCTAAGTCCATTGACAGATGAATGGATAAATAAACATGATTTATAACCTACAATATTATTCAGCCATAGAAAGGAAGTTCTGACACATTTTACAGCCTTGAAGAATTATGCTAAATTAAAGAGACCACTCATGCAGAACATGGTGGCCTATGCCTATAATCCCAGCAATTGGTAGGCTGAGGCTGGAGGTGGCTACGAGTTCAAGATCACTGTGGGCTACAAAGTGAGCTCAAGGCAAGCCTGACCTACATAGCAAGACTCTGTCCCAAAAAGACAAAAGAAAAGACCACTCACAAAGGAACGGTACTATGTAACTTCACTCATATGAGATATTTACAGTTGAATACAGACACAGACAGTAGAATGGAGGCTGCCAGAGGATGGGGAGTGTGATATATAATGGATGTAGAATTTTAGCTCTTTGGGCTGGGGAGATAGCTCAGTAGAATTAAGCGCTTGCCTGACAAGCCCAAGGGCCTGAGTTCAATCCCTGGTTCCACCAAAAAAAATTAAAAAAGAATTTTAGTTCTTCAAGATGAAAAAGGCTTTGTGGATGGTTAGTGGTGATATTTGCACCGCAATATGAATTATGTAATACTGTGCACTTCAAAATGTTTAAAAATAGTAAAAGATACCCCCCCAGGGGGGAAAAAAACCCCACATGCTAACTTATTTTTAAAAGAGATACGTATATAGGACTTTCCAAAGCAACTGTGGATCCTGACAAATATAAGATCCGATTTATAGAGAAAGTCCCTTAGAAAGCCTCAGTCTCCCTCTAGCCCTGGAAGGAAATACGCTGCCTTCTTTTTCCTGTACTTGGGGTTGAATCTAGAGCCTTTTTACTGAATTATATCTACACAACTTTTAAAAATATATACATTATTTTGAGACAGGATCTCACTACATTGCTAATGAGAAAAAAGAAACACTTCTCCATGGCTGGTGGGAATGTAGACTGGTACAACATTGTGGAAATCAGTGTGGAGACTCCTCACAACACTAGGACTAGAAATCACTACATTGTTAAATTGCCTGGGCTGTGCTCAAACTTGCAATTCTCCTGCCTCTGATCCTCCTCCTGCCTAGGCTTCCCAGAGGCCTGAGATAACAGAGATACGCTGCCACACCTGCCTTCATCTGCTGGCTAAGACACAGATGTGAGGGTTTCTAGGAGAGCCTGCACCTGATGCCAAGTTTGGGCCTTGCCTTTGGTGGATTCCGATCTGGGTAAAATGCTGGAGAAGGGGGCAGGGGAGGCTGGATGTCAAATATCCTAGGTGTTTTCTGAAAAAATCTATTGCCTGGTAATCACACTCCTGGCCAGAAATTATATATTCTACTCTTCCCAGAAGTTGGTTTGGGAAGTAGACTACAAGGGCTGCAAATTATGCAGAAACAGTTTATGTGTGATTGTTTTCAGGAATGCCTTGACTATCTCATTGTCATGAGCCTGATGTATTCTGGTGTTGCATTTACTGCCTGAAGTTTCATGAACAGGAATGGTTTACATGTTTGAAGTTTGTAATTATATTGGCTACAAACTTGTGGTTTTGAAACTGATGAAAGTCACAGTTCCTCTGTTAACAGCCTATTTCACCCACACGCTTCTACCCTTAGCTGACCACACCTGAAAACACTTGAAGGCCACCATGAAAGGAGATGCAGCACTCCTCCCAGCATGGAATTGTCATGCCAAGCAGGTTTGGGACCTGTCCTCCAGAAGAAATGTCCCTGCTGCCCTATCTAGGTAATAAATATGGGTTGGTTGATCAATTGATCAAATGGTTGATTGAGACAGGGTCTTGCTATGCAGTTTAGGCTGGCCTTGAACTCACTTTGTGCCCAGGCTGGCCTCAAATTCATGGTGTTCCTCTTGCCTCAGCCTCCCTAGTTCTGGGATTACAGGCATGTGCCACCATGTCTAGCATGGCTTTTTATTCTTGGGAGCTCAGTGATTTCAGACCCTATGACCACCTGAGGAACACAGACCAGCTCTGTCCTTCCCAGCATACCCAGCCTCACCAAAACATACACTCAAACCAAACATGCTACCTAGATTTGGTCTGTGGCCCCAGGGCTACAACTGTGATATTTGTGATAGCATAATAGGACCCATTAACTTGAGTTGTAGTCTACTATCTTTTTCCATTTTCTGTTGTTAATGACACACTTCCATTGACAAGGTAGAATTTTCTTTATAATTTTACAAAGAAAAGAGGTCTATTTTGGCTCATGGTTCTGGTCCAAGATAGGGGGTGGGGGGGAATCTAGTGATGGCTTCCTTGCTGGCAGCATCTTGAAATGGCATAGGGTGGCATCACATGCTAAGAGACGAGGGTGTGTGTGTGTGTGTGTGTGTGTGTGTGGTCCTCCCATTTCTTTCCCTCTTCTCATAAAGTCACCACTATTCACTCATAGGTAGGCTCCACCCCATGACTTTATCTAATTCAAATTATTGCCCCAAAGGCCCCAAAGTACTGAATTCATATTAAGCTTCCACTCTTAATTTCTTAATACCTCACAAAAGGGACTAAACTCTGAGTTTCACAAGGGCCAAGTCTTTTTTTTTTTTTTTTTTTCTTTTTTCTTGAGTCAGAGTTTTGCTATACAATCCAGAGTCTAGGCCAGGGACTCACTATATAGTCCAGGCTAGACTTGAACTCAGAGCGCCTCCTCTTGCCTCAGCCTTGAGTTCTGGACTTACAGGTTTCCACTACCATGTGACTGAGCCACATCATATTCAAACCACAGCACCCACCCAAAACACCAGGGTCTTCACAAAATGAAACTAACACAAGCAGGAAGGGACAGCTCAGCATAATGGGCACAGACTCTCAAATTCCTCTTCTTAAAATGGCGGCCTGCTCCTCACTTTACACTGGTAAGCATAACCTAAAGAATTCAGATACCCTGTGCCACCAACAGCAGGACCTAGGACAGCAGGAGGATTTGAATTTGGAGACAAACTTCTGTCAGACTCCATCAGATAGAATAAGGCAGGGGCTGGGATAGCATCCACCCTCCCTGAACTAAGATGATGGGGTGGGGACAGCACCAAGTGAAATCGGACTTGGGTCCTCTTTTTGTGTCTGAATATCTGTGTCTCTCTGTCTCTGTCTCCCTGCCTGCCCACCCCCATCCCCTTTCACCAAGTCATCTGGCTCACTTGAGGAAGCCTCAGCTGCTGGTCTGTTTGTTCCACAAACCCTGACAGGAAGTCCACTGAAGCCCACTTCCGGACCCAGGGTCAGCTGAGGAGCCTGGCAGCCACCACCAACCCCCACCCTAAAGAGGAAGAGCCAGGCCTCAGGAGCAAATCTGCAGGGCCAGCACCTGCGCTGAGGAGGCCTAGTGACTGTGATGTTCTGATAAGGCCAGCTGACAGTGAAGGCCCTTATTATCAGAGACCTCAGCTAACATGCAATCTTCAAAGCATACTTTCTTCAGTTGTTTTGAAGTTGACTTCAGCTACAGGTTTTATTGGTTTCTTTGCTAACCACTGTTGTTTGTGGCCTATGTCTTCCTCATTCTCTTCTTCCTCCTTCTTTATCTTCTCTTGGTGGATCTCCATGTATCTCTTGCAGAAAGTACCTCTGGATGACAAATCAAATCTTTGCATGTGTGAACTGAGTATTCAATCTTGGATTAAGAATACTTAAGTGTTACTTTATGAGGTATAAATCCTGAATTCAAAATAATTTTCCCTCAGAATTTTGTCCTCTGGGAGCTGGAGGTATAGTTTGGTGGCAAAACCTTTCCCTGCTGTTTGTGAGGCCCTGAATTTGAGCCCCAGCACAGCACTGTCAGAAAAAAAAAAAAAAAAAAAAGCCTTCTGTTCCCCTAGATCCTCTCTGCTCACTCCCATACCTTTTGGAATTTCCCTGAGATATTTCCTGAGGATACAGAGTTTCAGTACTCGTTCTCATTACTCATCAGCAGAGACTTAAAAAAAAAAAACTGTATTACTTCATTCTCTTACTATTTTTCTAGATATCCTTTCTGTAACTTTTGGTTGAAAATTAAAAAACAAAACAAAACAAAACAAAAAAAAACAGCTTGCCTCTAGCCTCCATGACTCAGTATTTTTCTTGTTTGCTTTCTTTTCTTGCCCTGATTCACAAACTATGGGAGGTTGCCCTAGCTCAATTTTGTGAACTATTTGTTCTCCACTATGCTCATTCTACTCTTCTTCAGCAAACTGTTGAAAGATATTTTTTTAAATATCAGCAATCATGTTTTAATTTCTAAGAACCTTGCTTCTTTTTATAGATTTTTTTTTTAATTTATTTGGTACAGAGTCTCACTACGTAGTTCGGCCCTGTAGTGATCCTTCTGTCTCAGCCTCCCCAGCACTGGGATTACAGGCATGCACCCCTATGCCTGGTTTTGGGGCCAGCACAGCATGAGGTACCAGGGTTCGAACTCTGGTCCTTGTGCTGGCCAAGCAGGCACTTAGACTACTGAACTATCTCCCCAGCCTTGTAGGGTAAGTTTTATTTCTGAACTGGTAATAACTTCGGTGTCATCAGGAGGTTATTCACTTACTTGCATTTGATGAGTGTCCAGCTGCTTTTCAGCAATTGCATGATTTTGATGTTTTATTTTGTTTCTTTTTTGAGACAGGGTCTCACTCTGCAGTTCAGACTGGCCTTGCACTCACTTTGTTGCCCAGGCTGGCCTACCTTTCAGAGTGATTCTCCTCCCTCAGTCTGCTGAGTCCTGAGAGTCCAAGTGTGCACCACTACATCCAGCCCAATTGCGTGTGTGACTTTTGACTGTCTTCGTTTCTGCTTCAGGGTCTTGGCCATTTGGCATTCAGAGTCAGACACGGGCCCCAGCCCAGGAGAGAATGCCTGTTGTGTGAGGGGTAAATGGAATTTTCGCTGCAGAGGGTCCAGTTCCAAGGAGGTGCAGAGCAGGAGGCAGGGGTGGGAGGCGTGGGCAGTGCTGCTTGGGGCCTGCCTCTTGGCTGCCACAGAAACCTGGGCCAGTGGCCACTTTCTCTGGCTCCAGTGGCTTCTCTGGGAGCCTCTTGTTTCACGATGCTCATCTTAACTGAGTAAGTAGTGAGCTTCACTTAAAGTTTTTACTTCAGGGGCAAAATAGAAATCAGCTACGTTTGTTTAGTGCTGGCTATTGAAGCCTTCTGCATGCTAAGCCTGTGCTCCACCACTGAACCACAAGCCCTCAGCCCCAGCTTTTAGCTGCTTCTAAGACAGCTAAGAATGATACAGATGGGAGAAGATAGCTGTGGTTCGTGCTCAGGATCATCTCACTTTTGCATCACTGTCTTCTCTGGAGTTGTAAGAGAAAGTTCACTACTCCACACTCTCCTTCTACTTTAGAGGGTTCTATAAATATCTTGACTTTGTGTATTTTATCAATGTGCTGTATATCTTTCATAAATCAATATAAATAGATAATATATGGAATATAATGTGTATATATATTTATGAAAGACAAATCTTGTTTATGAAAAATAAATCAGTCTTATTTATCTTTCATACCTTGCTTGGATTTCCAACATGGCTTTTAAATAAATATTCTTTCTTTATTTATTGTATTTTAGGGAAGGGTTTACAGGGTGTTCAGGGACTCACTACTAGATCGGACTCATAGTGATTCTCTTGTTTATAGTTTTCCAAGTACTGGGATTACAGGTGCATACCACCATGTCCAGCGGAACCGGGGAGTGAACTCAGGCCCTTGAGCTTGCCAGGGAAGCGGTTATTCTACTGAGCCATCTCCCTGGCCCCACACCACCCTCCACCCCAGGTCTCAATTGCCATTTTAGCATCCCCCC